CTATTCGTGAGGCATCTCTGACCGAATTGATTTTGCATCGGATTCGTACAAAACTGAAGAAATGTGTATATTGTCCTACAGTATACTCCGGATACTGATCACAAAAGAGTCGTTCAGAGTCCACTCATTGTGTGAATCGATCAAATAAATTTACTCTACGATGGGACTTCTGGTTTCACTAACTAAAACACTGAATTTTTACGACGATTGATGATTAGAAGTGATATTTCGAGTCCAGTGAATTGATTACATTATAGACATGCTACTGACAAGAAATTCTGACAGTAGTATAAAAAGGAATCTGCATAAGAAAAGTACTTGAACCGGTCGGTATACACATTTGCACAGGTTTGTTTCTGTCCGGTATCAAAGAAATCTGGTAAAGAGAGACTCAGCCATACAGTCATAGTTATTTCTTCAGAAGATGTGATTGAAGACGAATTTAAAATTGTATCACAAATGTTTGGAGGGGATTTGAACTAAACATTCCCTTTCTTGATGTGTACCTTAGTGAACGCAATGACAGATCTCTCAAGAGATCCATCCACCAGGAAAGTATATGGAATGTACAACTAACTAATTTTTATAGTTGGGTGCCTATCTCCAGAAATAGGAACTTAATTCGTTCTCTCCGTTTTAGGATAAGAAACATTTGTAGTTCTGATTGCGTTGACTAAGAACTTGTCTTCCTAAAAGCCACTCTCGTAGAAAACGGTTACCCTAACCGATTTATTGACAGTAACATGAAAGACAAACAGTCTAAACTGGTCACCGACTCAGTTCCAAAGAATGCCTTTTTCGTGAAATTGGAATTCAAAGGTGATCAGGCTTCAGATATGCTCAAAACCCGTCTCTCTAAATGAGTCAGTAAGACGTTCTTTGCAGCAAAATTACAAGTAACGTCCACCAGCCTCAATTTGTTCTCCATCTCTGTAAAAGATAATCCGCCCCATCTGGCCGCCTCCATGTGCATTTATCAGTTCACCTGCTCTTGTGGAGCAAGGTACATTGGCTGTAGCCAGAGAACGCTTTCCACACGGATACGAGAACATATTCCAGCATGGTTTTACAAGGGAGAAAGGAAGAGTATGTGAAGCCCTATTGTAGAACAATTGATCGACTCCTGTTACTCTACCAACCCTGAACATGATTTTAAGATCATATATATAATCCATGGTAACTTGCCGCGTTTTCTTCGTTACAGACTTTTAAAGACAGCTGAGGCCTTGGCCATTCATGAATTTAAGCCAGACGTTTGTGTACAAAAGAAGTATGTACAATCCCTACTTCTGCCTTGGTCGTAGAGGGATAGACATTTATTTATTTCGATTATTCTATGTACTTTTCCCTTATTATTATTATTATTATTATTCTCATTCTGAATCTTTTCTACTTGATCCACTTGACATTTTAAACCCAAAATTATTAATTTTTATATTTTTTATTTTTACAATATTGAATTCTATCCTATCAAATTTCACACCATGTTATGTAACATTTTATATTCGCCTACTAATCCTATAATTATGGACTCCTTTCCAAAATCTATACACCTTATGTATTATTCTATATATTCCATATATGACATTAATTGTTTTGCCACTTGACATTAAACTATGACTATAATCACAAATATTTTAGTTACATTTCATACTATTATTATTTCATGTATTCACACCTTTGACCTAATTCCCTCACCGGATATAATTTCTTTAAAAAATCATACATATACGATTGTACAGCTTGATAATAAATTCGTTGAAAAGAGTCCCCTCGCTGAATATTGTGTTCTAAATCCACAGTTATCCGCCTGTCTGTCTATCCATCTATCTACGAGACAACTCTAATTGGCCCATTTTTCCGAAGACCTATTGATCCATATATCTAGGTGTGCGCAGTCCCTACTTCTGCCTTGACTGTAGAGGGATAGGCATTTATTCATCTGATGATATTGGATGATTGGAGGCGATCGGCAGGAAGCCCCGCCTTGGACCTAGGTTTCGTGCTAGTTGGCACTCACCAATAAGTAGGGCGTATCTTCAAGCCTTGAAGCAACTCATGTCCATTCTGAGATTCGAACCCGCATCACCCAGTGCCGCCTGCAGTCAGAGACGTTACCACCACTGAGCTATTCGGCCTGGCTATTGACCTCCTGTAGGACTGTACTGGATCCTTTGATTGGACACTAGTTAGTAACTAGTGTGCTGTGTCTAGTCCTTTCTTTGGTGCAGATTGATTTCCATCAGTCAGGTTTGCAATGTGGTCAGCCTATCTTTGAGCATTTCTGTCGGACCAAAGAAAAATACCGTAGTAGATTATTTTGTATTCTTCAGATGTACTGGAGATGGCGTGATGGTTTTACTTGAAACTCCTGGGGATGAAGAGTAAGCATTATGCAATAAAACCTTTTTTTTATTCCTTCACGTTCCCCAGTGGAACATAGGGCTTCAAGCTAGAAGCTTGAAGTTTCTGTAGCAGGGTTTTATTTTTACCAGCTTTATTTCTGGCTTAGCGAGGTAAAGGAGTGCGCCGGCCGGGATTTGAACCCCGGACCATGTGCATGGTCGGCAAGCGTCCTAACCGCTGTGCCACCGACGCACATGCAATAAAACTACGCTGAAATATATGCATATCGTGTAAACTTTGCATGATAAAGATATGGTTATATTTCAGGTTGTAAGAAAAGTAGGAAGGATCTGATTAAAAATTAGATTATTGTGTGATACAGATTCACTGGAATGTTATTGAATATCATTGTACACCATAAAGCTCAATGAAATGTTAAGAATTAATTATTCAAATATATTATTCATCATTCAGTATACTAACTTCAGCAGTTGGGTACCTCTAGGTAGGAAGATAAGTCTTATGCGTTCTCAATGCTCCAGAATTCAAAAATTCGCTCTGTAGATATGGAACTAGAAAGCCAACGCACAACTCTCTTAAATAACGGATATCCTAGAAGGTTTATTAACAGAAACATCAAGAAAGAAACTGTCCCCAGCCAAATCACAGTGTCAAAGGAGACATTGTTTACGAGTTTGGAGTTCAAAGGTGACACTGTCACTTAAGTCATCTATCTAAAGGTTCTTTTACCAGCCGAAATATGATTCGACAGTGCGTCAAAGATAAACTACCTCTATATGCATATACTCATTCACGTGCTCGTGTGGAGCTGATCACGTTGGACGGTGTAAGTGTATTCTACGCAAATGCATAACTTAACACTATCAGGTTTTGTTAATGAAAAGTGAGCAAAGGACGAGTAAGTCTTCAATGTATGAACACCTTCAGGCCTTAGGTCATCCAACCCCAAGTGATTTATCCTTCAAACTTATTTACAGGACCGAATTCAACTACTCTAAAAGCTTACGCGTTTTCCACTTATGCATAGCCGAAACTCTAGCTATACGTGGACGGAAACCTAAATTATGTATTTAAAAATGTTTTGTTAAACCCCTTTTCTTTACCTTAATCATAGGTATGTTCTTTTATTTTACCACTTGCATTCATTCCACAATTCACTTCATCTTCGCCGTCATTACTGTTATCATCATCATCATCACACTCAAGCCTTTAGACAACACTAGACCTACAATTTTGAAATCTTTATACCAGCGATTTCTAGTGCAATTTTCCTGTCGTATAAATACGACTGTACAGATAGCTTGAAAAGAGTTATTTCTTCGCTGAACAGAAAACTGCGTTTTCCCTTATCAATTAATTAGTATACTTCGAGAATGAACAGGAAAAGGGCTATAAATCTAAACTAATTAGGCAGTCTACACTTCCCTGCGTAGTTAGCTCAAACCAACTGTTTACGGTTTCATGGACTGTTTCAGTGTTTTCGTTTGACCACCACCAATAGCTAACCCTTCTCTAACCTCACCGACTCTGTTACAGCTAACATTACCAATTGTCGAGAAAAGTGATGGCTAGCCATCGCAATCGATTCACCTTCACAACCTTGTCTATTGGTTTTCCCTCCTCGCCTAACCTCGCAATATTGCTCACCCTATTATACCATCAGCACCAGAGGTAGCTCAAAATGACCTTTGCCAACCTATCTTTCACTATATGGTCAGATATCTCGTCCGATATACCTCCGCCAGCACTCATACATACAACTACCCAGATACATTAACTTATCGACAACTTTAGGCGGTTCATCTGCAACAGTGCGCGAGTTCAGGTACAGGCTGTTTCCAATTTTGCAGTTTGACGTTGGAAATCACACATAGCATACTTACAGACACGGCCCAGCAACTGAATAAGTGCGATTGGAGCAAACTGCATGTAGGATGATATAATCTGAATACTGGAGAGGTTGGGAAGTCTTTCTCCAGGAAGCATATTTACACCATCGCTACGCACGCTGCCAATCAGCTATTCTCTAGTAAACAATCCAAGTCACAACGGAATCACTGTTCTCACCAGTACCTCATTCAGTATGAAAAAAGGCTGAAACAGGAGTTACATAAAAAAGCGCTCAAGTACTTGAAGTCCCCTTTAAAATCCACACCTGATGATCAGCTTTAGAACAAAGAACACCGGAGATATAGGCCATCCTGTTCACAAAAGTGCTTTACTCCAGTGTTGAAGGCATTTTTGAAGGAAGTCAATTAACCATTCACACTTCACAGACGGTTTCCCGTCTACCAGACTATTATTGTTGCCATATTCGACAGAATGGAACAGTTTCCTACTGCTGTTAAATACAGCGAGGTGCCTCCTCCTCCAGCGTCAGTCACGCACACACAAGCCATATCGAACCCTACAGTTTCTCACATAACAAGATCATTGTTGAAGACATTGTTTCTACGCATATCACACAGATCAGAACAATCTCGATCATACACTAATGCGAGGAAGAAAAGTGGAACACGGCCACAAATCCATTCTGTTGATATACTTGTATATCTTGTCAAAGTCGTTGGTCATCGAAATCATCCCTACGGTGCTCTCGTAAATCGTAAAAACCGATCAAAAACAACTGTAGTGAAAATAGTTAGTTAGTATATTATTTTCAAGTTTTCATGGAGTGAGAATATGGTAGTTGGTTAGTTATTAAGTAAGTGAAGAGAGACAAGGCGGGGGGGGGGGGGAAGAATGGGCATATAACACAAAGAGAAGAAATTCGTAGCTATGAGAATAATGAGGATCCATATAGAAAATATACACAGTGTGGTTATCATCACCATCATCATCATCATCAAATGCATTAGCGTCGTGATCGATAACGATAGGATGAGGAACGATCTCTACGTCCATACGACCGAGAACGATTTCTCCGACTACCACCACCACCACTAGTGGATCGAGATCGATTCCTTCGACTAACAATCGGTGATCGAGATCGACTTCTTCGATTCATCGATCGAGATCGATACCTTCTACTGGTTGATCGTGAACGATATCGTTCAACACCACCACCACCACGGGAGTGAGATAATTTATCTCTCATCCGAGTACTTTCAGGACGATAGCTTTTGTAGCTGGTGGCAGTTGTTGTTGTTTTACGATCTGAAGGACTACGACGACGATGACTACTAGAGGAACGTCTTCGGTGTTCAGAACGATGTTCATGATGTTCTGGTTGTGATCCGATATGATTTCGTTTATAAGTTGCTAAAGCACCGCCTACAACTGATGAATCACCACCACCAGAGGTAACATCAGATCGACTTTGTTTTGAGGCTACAATCTCCTTATCATCACTAGCTGTTATCGTCTTGGATGGACGCTTCTGAGCACGAGTTGGAGATGACTAAAGTGAAAAAAATAAAATATGAAAATGTAATTATAAACGAGAAGTAAGAAGAATATCTCACAACTTTTAAGTAGTATGTTTTGTTTACAGTTAGTTATTTGACTATTCCGTGGAGAGTGAGTTAATGTGAGTGTTTGGTTAGATATAACAACCTAAATCTGGAATCTAGGGGGGCATTACCCAAAACAACAACAGGCCCCATCACACAGATAAGTAAGATGTCGGTAAATACATACTACATAAGCTGGGAAGATCGTTTAGTGACATCACATCACTCCAGCCAGATCTTCAAGTGGCACTTGAATGGGAAACAGAGTGACTGTTTGGCGTTTGCAGGTGAAGTCGAGGGGATCGTGTGAGGAGAAGACAATGATAAAGAACTGCAGAGAATTATTATGGAATAGTGATGTGCAGTGACTGTTGCTGCTGCTGAAGAGGCCCTATGATGTTCCGCACTCGGAACCCAACGGAATAACAACAAAATTAATAATAATAATAATACGTATACTTAGCTAAAACACTATACTAAACTCTAAACCTGATTAAAACAAAAAACTACTCGACATGTATAGTGAAACTTTAAGAGATCACGAAATCTGATCATGGATTGATATCAATTAGAGAACGAACTGGGAGTACTGAACAACTAGCTAGCTATTTCGCCTTCACTAGTTCGAGACTCGTCAGCAGTTCGCACTCACCACCAGAATTCAAACCTCAAACCTTCTGGTGGTCACCAGTTAAGCTCGTATACTATTCACAGCCACTAAGACCCGACCTGAGCACCTACTGCCAATGAGTTCCAAACTAGTGGGACGAAACAGCTGTTCAGTGCTCCCAGCTACTTTTCAATGGTTCGCTTTCTAACTGATATCAATCCGTGGTCAGATCTGAAATAAGTCGTATCCCTACAAACAGACTTTTGAAGATGAGAAAATGTGGAACTCATAAGCACACGCGCACACACACACGCAAACATACGCAAGCGTGCACACGTACGGATTCTTTTCTCCGATTATCATCCATTTTTATCAATGACGACGTATTATTGGATTGAACATCTGGTTTAGACAATTGTGATATCTGTTTATCAGCTATATCATCACGGCGACCACTTTTCAAATCTGTTGTATTCCTTGATTTCAATAATTTAGAATCGGATGGTGCCGTTGAATGTTTATTATTATTATTATTAGCAACAGCAGCAGCAGTAGACGATGAGGTATGACTTTGTGTCGACTTTTTAATTGTTGCTGTTTTTTGTTTAACTGTCTCATTAGACTTTGCAGTAGCAGTGGCAGTAGGTAAACGCCTGTCATCGGAAACTTTTGATCCAGTTTTCATAGTTTTATGCGAAGAGGAGCGACCACCACCCAATGTTGTAGAAGTAGGAGGAAGAGGAGGATCAGTGGTGGTGGTGGTGGTATTTGTAAACGGACTGCGTGTAGCTCTATGTTCAGACTCCTCAGAATTTCGACTGGAGATATTTTTCACGCCAGAGGAGGAGGAGGAGGATTTTTCAACAGCAACTTTTTTTGTCCGTTGATTCACCTTGATGAATTTAATAAAAAGTTAGGCAGATTATACCGATCCAATGAACCGTTTGAGAAAGTGAACGGTTAGGTATATATTTATGGAAATGTGAAAATGCTTGACATTATATTATTATTATTATTATCATCATTATAAGCATGATTTCAGAGGAGAAATGCACACGCACGCACGCACGCATACACACATACAAACACAGCGCATAAGAGAAATCAACAAACACACATTTATACAGCATAATGAAATTTTCTATCATGGTGTCTTCATACTGACACATGAACTACGATTACTTTTAGTCTCATCGCTATTTCAACGACTATTATAATGTATCAGTACATAAAATTGTTTGACAACGTCAGTGTTGCAACTGTTCAACGGAACATATTACTGTAGAGGGGTGTGGAGACACGTGTGCCTTGTTATCTGAAACTATTTCCTGTGTTTCCTCCAGCTATCAGCCGTTGGTTTGCAGGGATTTGATCGGTTACAGGATTGATCACGAGTTGACATCAGTAAGAGAACTATTGGAAAATCAGCTGTTTCGTCCTAATCTGAGACTCTTCATCAGTACGGACGCATCCACGGGGCTGGCTCAAAACCAGGACCTTCCGGTTACAAGGTGAGCTCGCAGACCATTCAACCACTGGGCAAGTAACTGATCTCCTGCTCGATTTGATGGACCCCACTGCTCGCGACTTCTCACCAGAACTCCAGGTAACTGACGGCATAGAGCCGCCAGTCAAATAAATTAGCAAGTGTTAGTTTGCAGGGATTTGATTGGTTACAGATTGTCAGTCATCCAGTTATTAATACTGTATCACTGTGTGTTATAATCGAAATAAACTTATGTTAATATGAAATTAGCAGTGGCTAGATAGAGCAGTAGTAGAATCCATGGCGCGTGATTCATCCTGGAGGGAGGGAGGGAGGTGTACCTGCGCCGCCACCACCACCACCACCACAACTCATCGTTTCATAAACGTCAACAAAGCGTTAACCACTAAGGTTATTGGGTCACTACTACTACTACTGCTACTACTAGAGTCACTCACCACTTTTATGCAACAGGGAGGTAGGTAGGGGTTTATAACTGTTAAAATGTTTAAACTTCCAGTTATATTTCTGTAACAAAAACAGCAACACATAAATGACTGGAACACATAATTAAAACAGTCAATACATATATATAAATGGAACATTAAACAATTTACTTGTTCAACAGTTAATGGCAACCAATAGACGGATGGAGTGGCTGTAGTCTTTCGAAATAAATTGTTCAACAGTTGGGCAGGCTCTTCACTTTTAGCTATTTTTTATTAACACAGATACACAGAGAGAGATAAAAGAAAGCCAATGAATAACATACCACAAAACTTTATTATGACTGAATGCAGACATCAGAATAACAGTAAAGTTTAACGCCATAATATATGCGTGAAGATGTGACACACACACACACACACACAATATATGTATAAGGTTTAACAGCCCGGTTTGCAATTCAATGCGGTGCCGGGTTTGAGTCACGCGCCACCTACTTCAGTCTGTACAACTGGATGGCATCATGCTACGGCAGATATAGCTTTTAGTCAGAAAGACAACGGAGAGCTCTCAAGTGTACAACCAACTAGCTTAGAGAACAGATTATTATTTCTCCACGATTGTCCATAGTGTATCTTATCGCCTGCTTGCATAATCTTCTCCACATCACCCACCCTCGACATCCAAGTGGTCACTTCCAATTCAGGTTCCACTAGAGCGTTGGTTTGACGCGTGATATCACTCAACGGTCTCCTCAGCGTGTGCCGTCCAATCCACCTCCATTTTGTTCGATATATTTGTTGAGCAATAAATTCTCAACTCTATTGGTTCACTTCTAGAGTTTCATGTTGCTACTTTTTTTCCGGTCGACTATCTGATCTTCAATATGAAGTTAGTAAGGATGGTTGGGTGGGGGGTCACTGTTGGCCGTTGGAAATGCTTTTCGTGACGCGCTCACCAAGTTTCTGGCTCATATAAAAGAAGTGACTGGCTGACTAACTAACTTAACATTGATGTTGCAAATCTGAAATTTGTTTTTGATGCCGAAAATTTCCAAACTGACTTCAGAGTGGTGAGTGTCTGCCTCGCCTTTCGGATATCCTCAGTCCGTTTCCTCTGTATATAGTTGAAACGATTCTGCGTGCGTACAGTAATTGGTGCTTGTGGTTGTTGGTTGGTTGTCTTCATTACAGCTGTCTTCTCTGCTTCCTCAACTACTTTGTTGGTTTTCGCCTGTAAGTCTTCAAGTTTGTGTGACATAAGATGACGTAAATCATCCGCGAAATCCAAATGTTGTAGAGTGGTCTAGCGTATTCCTGTCTTCTAGCTCCTTTCCCTGTGCACAGTCTTTCGCATGATCTAGTCGACCACAATTGGGAATATTAACGGTGACAGTAAGCAGACAGCCCTGCCTCTCTGAGTTCCCCTGTTGCGGATCACATGATATATTCTATTGTCATAAGAGCTGTTGAATGAAGTTGATAAAGATTTTATGCACTGCGCGCTATCATGTTTATCAACGCGACACAATCCAAGAACTGTAACTATGGCATGTGACTATATATGCATCACATATGGCAACTCGGATAGTACAGATTACAAAATTTGTAATCAATGCAGATTGCTTTATTTGTAATTCTCAATAAACCATCACCTATTTTTGACTAAAATTCAATGTGTGAAAAAATATATGCTAAGATTAATACAATTTCCTAGGAAATACGATTTCTGAATGTCAACCTTCAGCTTGCTAGTGGCTGTAGTATGGATGTCCAGAAAGTTTTGGTGAGAAGTCATGCGTCAACATGAAGCGGGCCCTCACCAATACAAGTGATTAGCCTCAACGGTATATCGCAAATCGACACCTGTTAGAATTGACCATAAGTTGACATCAGTTAGAGAACCACTGGAAAACCCTCTGGGAGTAGTGCTGGGCAATTAGCTGCCTCGTCCTAGTTTAGGACTCTTCAGCAGTAAGCACCCACCCACCCACCCCACCTCCATGGTTCGAAATCAGGACCTTCCAGTTACAAGTCGAGCTTGTAGAGCGCGTTCAGTTCACTGGGACCCGATCCAATGGCCAACACATGAATTCCAACTTTTGCCAATTCGCAAGTTCTAGTGTCAACTGATAGTCATCAACTAGTAATCATCAAATCAGTAACCAATCAAATCCCTGGAAACCAACCGCTTGATACATGTTAGAATTCACATGTGTCAGTGAATTCTAAACCCAGTGGCTGAATGGTTAGCGGGCTAGAGGTAGTACATGTTCGTCATCTGATGGTGATGAACAAAGTTCCATTCTAGAAGGAAATGGATATCCAGTTTTTCTTTATTTTCAGTGATTCTCTAACTGATGAAATCTACAATGAACCTAACTGAAATCCCTGCGATCTAAATATGTAATTATCGAAATCATGAGAGTAATAGTAGCAATCAAAAACGTGAAACTGCTGTTTCATCACAGATGACGTGTAGTGTCGGCTGAATGCTGTACACCTGAAATACAAGCTACATGCTGTATCGATTGAAATTAATAGTCTGGTTGTATATAACAACTGTAAGATGAGGAGAACTTTGCATGACTCGATGACTCCAAGATATTTTACAGGCACTTCTGTAATCTCTGTCTCTCTCCCCATGAAGGTTTATATGAAATGGCAATTACAATACAAACTTTGTCACAGTAAGCTCAGATTACTTTCCACTGAAAATTCACCGCGTCCTGTCCCCACCCACCCACGATGTTATCTCCTGTTTTATGTCTACAGGAGGCGTTCCTACATCTATCTGGTTCGCGTTATACGTTGAGAAATGATCATACAATTTAATACTATTTTTCAGGTTAAATATATTGCAACCTGGTGGTGGCGGCGGTCATGATGCTACAATATGCTGAGTAATATTCAGGTTAGGTATCGAGTGTTAGGGACAGGAGAGGGGATAAAAAGGAGAAGTCAGTAGAGGAAGAAGTTTTGAATCTGTATCTCTATTAATAAGATGGGCAGGGCACGTATATCGGAGTCATCCCTTCTATCCTAAGACTGGATTTTTAAAGAAGTTAAGGACAGTCAAACTGAAATATGGTATTGATTCATGAAGTCCTTGACCGTTAGGTTCAGTTAGTGAGTCATGTAGGGGGCAGTGTGGAATGCCTGACTGATGTCTCCAAGACGATGTTAGGAATCAATGGCTGGAGATATGACACAGACGCATCTACTCATTGTAGATGTATTCGGCTCAATACAAATAACAATTAGGCAATTCATGCACCCGGATGAAATAGTTTGCTTTGATCAACACCTTAACTCTCTAACAAACTCAGTCTTATGTCAGTTAACATTGCTCGTTTGGAGCTGTTTGATTTATAGTTGTCAGCCAGAAATCGGGTGGGTTTGAACTGAGTACAACCGGGTACAACGCTGTTGATAAGCTCAGTGACAAATGAAGGGAACAGCTGTCTAGTGGTTTTCAGGTCATCACTATCTCGCTGGCTGGTAAGCACTACTTGGTTGATGTGAGTAGTACACGTAATTTTATGTAAAGAGATATAAACCACCTGAGGAACACAGATTTCTTTTTTTGAAAGAATTCGCTCCTATTTAAAACCCTAAAGTCAAACAATAAGACGCCTTACACATAAGTGTGTGTGTGACAAAGATATACACATATATACATGCACATTCATTCTCATGCTGTGGTAGTGTGCTTACGTTTCGTGTCAATCAGTGGTGGTGCCAGGGCATCTTTACTTTCATTTTGTTTAGACTTCATTATTGCAGCAGTATTTGGTGCTTCTAAGTCACGATTGGTTCTTTCTAGTTTTCGGCGTAAATCTGCAGGCTTTGCATCACGTTGTAGTTCACTTGATCCAATATATTCATGACCACCTACAAGATATATACAACACAGACCATACATACATACACGATCACACATCAGCACATCAGTGTACAGCAAAAAAACTGGTAAGTTAATGCTAAAGATAAGGTAAAAGATTGCCCCCCCGCCGCCTTCATAAATGATCTGGTACGGATGAGGATGGATGGACATCGGTCATTTCTCTCTCTCTTGAAATGGTCTTTCATGTGTCCACGCGATCACAGACAAGTCCTACTGATTTCACTGCCTTCACGTGGGTGGGGCTGTTCCCCACAAAAGTGAAAGGGCTGACTAACTGGTTTCAACATAAAACTTTGCACAGATGTACAGCAGTTCGAGTTGCCACACTACCTCCCTGTTGCACATAAAGTAAGAGAACAGAGAAAAGAGGGGTTCAAAAGAAAGATAGTAAACAGAAGTGTGAGTGAGAGAAAAAGAATAGTAATATGTAAGAACAATAGAGTTTTATTGAATATGATGATGAATCACAAAGAGTGAACGAATCTACGCCACTGCTCAGAACGATTTTGAGCCACATCACTAATTGTTTCCAGACATTGGTTCTTAGGATCCCGAAGACCCCAACCAGATAGCAGTCTACACCTCCTTATATGACTGGCTTAAACTAACTGTTATGGATTTCATTGCCTGATGCCATTAACTCTTTTGCAACCTGACCAAATGGCAGGTAACGTTGCCCGTCGAGGGAGGCGATGGCTAAGCATGCATAACACATTATCCTAACCATCTCAATCGATGTAACTTCAAAAACCTCGTCGATTGATTTCCCCTCCTTACCTAGCACTCGACGCCTAACCTCAATATTGCTCATCCTGTTATAGCAACTAACATGAGAGACAGAATGCAGACACCTATAATCAAAGACAGCTAGCCTTTTCAAATCTTCCATTCTTAATGACCATGTCTCTCACGCACATAAAGGAGGACGGAGCGAACTGCGGGGCTGTGTAGTAAATACATCCTTTGATCGATAGCCAGCTGGATATCAAGTCTACTAAGCCAGAGATAGAGTAAGTTGGTAGGCGAATGCCAAACACGCCTTGCGTATCCGTACTGAGATTTCGTCAGCAATCAGCTCGTTGGGGCTGATTCAACCTCCCAAATAAATGAAGTGGATAGTTAACAGATTCAACCACTTCTCGAAACAATAAGCTCTTGTCTGAAACCCTTAGTGCATACAAAAACCTCCTTACATATATGTGACAAAGATATGCATACATACATACATACATGCACATACTGATGCTGGTAGTGTGCTCACTTTTCGTGAAGTGGTGAATGAGAACGCCTGGTGCTCACAACCGGTTTGGTGGGCGGGGGAATGAACTGGACAACCCTGATTCCATACCTATGCGCTCCAGAATCTGACCGGATTGAATGGCGTGTATGCACCATGTTTCGGTCATCGATGGTAAACACCAACCATGTAGAAAAGATCAGAGTGAAGAAGCAAACAACATAACCTTTGAAAGAAAACATTTCTAAGCAGTTTCACAGTTTTACAAGGCGGCTGTATAACTGTCCTTCATATTTTCTATTATAGTCGGGAAAACATTGATGATGGCGGTTAGAGTAGGAATTCAAAATAGCTACTGTCGATGTCGGGAGAGATGTCATACACATATACGTCCGTAAGTACACGCACACACATACATGCAGACACGCTGAAACGAAAAGCTACCAATACCAGAGAGAATTTGAGTATAGAAAGAACAAATATTGGTGCAGAATAACATCGATCCATCTTACTTCGTTGGTTCCCATCACCTTCATAAACTTTGATAAATAAAAGTCAGAAGGAAGCCAGTTTCCATAAAACTCGACTTCAAAGGCGATGTTACTATGAGAATCATAACTAAAAGATTGAGCACAGTCCTGTCTAGGACGTATCCTGCAGCAAAACTAGTCTCTCTGTTCCGAACATATTCCTCGTTGGTTAAGTCAAAAGTCGACAAGTACCCCTCATATGTTACCTCTAACTGTATACCAATTAACATGTATCTGTGGGAGCAGTTACACTGGAAGAACAAAAGGAAGGGTCTACGTTAGATTTTTCGAACATGTACCAAAGAGCTTCTGGTTAAAGGGGCTGTAGAGTTTAAGCTCTTTAATTATTAAACACCTGATAGACACACTGGACACCGAGTTGGCATCATTCAAAATAATTAACAAACAAAATAGCTCAAATCTTCTTCAGTGTGCTGAGGATATCGCAATAAAACGGCTGAAACCTGACATATGTATCCAAAAAAGGAATCTGTCTTTGGACTCCAATTACCCTGGTGACTCATCCTTTAATAACTCTCGGTCTTGAAATTCCATTAACTTATCTTTTCAACCCTCCCACCACAACCAACACCCTAAGCTTCGTTTCTTTTCCATAAGAGATAATTTTTCTTTGGTTACAGGATTTCACCATGAGCTGACATCGGTTAGAGAACCATTGGAAAACCACCATTGGAGTACCGGACAGCTGTTTCGTCAGTCTAGTTTGCAACTCTTCATCGGCACGCACCCCTCACAAGGGTCGAACCCAGGACCTGGTTAAAAGGCAAGCGATCTCATAGAACATTAAGCCACTAGGACCCGATACAATGACCAGCCCATGAATTCCAACTTCTGCCAATTCATGACATAGCGCGATCACTGTGCAATGTCTTCGACGAGTAACTATCCTCACCTTCAACCTGCTTTACCCTATAGGTACAACTTCCCACTAGAGTTCTACTCACCATATTACATCGTCATCTTTTCATCTGACCTCTTGCACACCGAATTTCGATCTTCTCATATGTAACTATGTAATTGTTACTGATTGTTGTTACCACCCTAATAACAAACTTTCAATTAATTTCCTAGGGACTTCTTTCTAACAAGATATATACATATATATAAACAATCATTAAAAATAAATGGGGCTAAGAGAATACAGTTATGGCGTAACTGACTACACGACCCGGATTAACGGTTGACACTAAATTCCTAGATAAGATAAAATAAGATGAGATAGGATGAAATGAGTTGATAACTTACCTGATTTCTCTTCACTGACTTTGACTGCTTGACTTTCTGCAACAGACGATGACGAAGTTTCACCAAGTAACAAGTGTTTTGGAGGTACAGCATCAGTTGAATCACCATTGACTTTCATCCATTCGAACAAATCAGTGCTAGCATAATCACAGCGGAGGACACGTGGATTCATAGATGGCCAACGACTACCATCTAAGCCTTCACGACATTTCTCAGCATATTCTGCAGTCTGTAAACGTATTAATGAGGATGACTTGATTTTATCTAGCCATAGATCAACAACAGGACCATAATGTGTTGTAATCATTTGACGCAATTGTTCAGCAGTGAATGGACGGACAAGAAAACGAATATAAACAATATCCGTCTGTGGATGTTTAGCCGGTTGAACAGGTTCAATACGCTCTGGTGGTTCAACTAAGTAACCAACAGCTTTGGTTTCTAAAAATATACAAAAAGGAATTCAAATGATAGACAGACAGATACAATGGAAATGCCATGTTGGCGAATCATATTAAGGAGGGCGGACAATGAATAGAACTTCGGAGTAGAACAGTATAATTCCATCATAGAATAAACTGATCCGATAAAAGCATACAGTGATACAGTGTGCAGTATCTATCATGCACTGATATGACTGTTTCGAGCACGGTTAGTTAATTCACTATTCATAATCATCACATATTAAGGCAATCATCACATAACCACTTTCAAACTTCGTTGATAAAGCAGTCCCATTATTTCTTATTCTTTGATTTTATCGGGAACAATATTTACCATCATTCTATGACATACTGGAAACTGAAGCAGAAGGGGCAAGCCACAGATAAAAGAGACCTCGGAACATTATATCAGGGAAGAGATCAACCTCGATAATGAAACCAATAAAAGATGTTCAAGGCAACCTAATTATCAAGGAGGAGAAATAAATAAGACAGTGGGTTGATCACTGTAAAGGACTCTTGAATCGACTATCACCTGCAACTCGTCCAGAAATACGACCAATAGCAATATTCACAGAACTGCCTGACGGTGGACACTAGTCCTCCAACGAAAGCAGAAATCCTCAGTGTGATCAAGCTAGTGAAGTCTGGGAAGGCAGTAGGACCAGACGGAATTCCTTCTGAAGTAGTGAAAAATGGTTCAGACGTCGAAGCAGATATACTCACAACACAATTGCAAAAATTTTGGAATGAAGGAAAGGTACCTACTGATTGGAAGAACGACTGGCTACCTTGTCAAACTACCAAAGAAGGGAGACTTAAGCCTCTGCAAGAACTGGCACAGAATAATACTCTTTTCCACGCCAAGTAAAATACTAAGTCACGTTATACTGGAGAGAATAAAGGATGCATTGGATGCAGAACTGCGACCGGAACAATTTGGATTTAGCAAAAGCATATCATGTGATGATCAAGTTGCAAAGCTACGTGTCATCAACGAACAGAGCATAGAATGACAGTCAAACTTATACTTCAGCTTCATCGACTGTGAAAAGTCCTTCGACGGCACTGTCCATGAAGTAATTTGGAAACTACTTCAACACTACACAATGCCCCAAACTTTCATCAACTTCATTCAATAGCTACATGGCAATGCCACGTGTCAGGCGATCCACAACGAACAACTCAGTGAAGCGTCTGAGGTAAATACAAGAGTAAGCCAAGGCTGCCTGCCTAATATCACTGATAATATTCCCAATTGTGGTGAACTGGATTATGTGGAACACCGTACGTGTAGAAGACAGGAATACTTTGGACCAACAAGAAGACTCTAGAAAATCTGAATTTCACGGATGTCGTTTAAAGCCACACAAACAAGAAGACTTGCAGGCGAAAACCAACAAGGTGGCAGTGGAAGTAGACAGCAACGACAGGACTTCTTGTGAATATAGAGAAAACGGAGGCGATGAAGATAACCAACCAACCAACCACAACGACGACAACAACAAGCACAAATCACTATCACACGAGTAAATTTGAAAGACGTCACTTCCTTATTTTTCTAGGTAGTATAGTTTCACCTATATGCAGGCAGGCAGGACGGATGAAGATGTCAAAGAAAACCAGAATCGGAAAGACAAAACAAGCCTTCGTCACTCTTAAATCAGTTTGGAAATCTTCTTCACTCGTCAACATGAACAACAAAATTCGAACTTTCAACACCAATGTTAAGTCAGTCAATTCTTCCCTATGGATCAGAGGCATGGTGAACGAGTCAAGAAGAGCATTTCGAACAGAATAATGTTAACTTTTATCAACAGCTGTCAGATGACTTTACACACACACACACACACAAGAAAGCTGATTGTTATTGTCTATTGTAATATATATATATATATATATATATATATATATATATATATATATATATGAGTTCTACTCACAAACAATAATCATTGAATAATATAAAACGAAATCTCTTGGAATAACGGCAAGAGTAAACAATAGACACCAAAGTTAAATGACCTTGATTTGACCAATCAGATAGCTCAGCATTAAAAATGGTTCCTAGTCATAATCCTCTTTGAAAGTGTCTCCTAGATTTGGTTTTTGACTTTTCTGTAGATAATGTGTTGATAGGGAGGAATAAAACATGCATGTGTGGAGGGATAATAACTCTGGAAAAGTATTGGCGGGCTATTGATGGTTATACATTCCTATGCACCACTTTATTTGAGGAAGTCTGTGAAAGTTGGTAAGTCGTACATAACTGGTGATTTTTTAAACACTTTCTTCTCGAAATCAAAGCTCTCCTAGTAATATATTGGTATATGCAACCAGTATCTGCTACAGCTGGAGGAATAGCGAATACATTGGTTTGATATGTCTATAACCACTTCTATGAGAATCTGGGACCAGTTTTCGCAGCATATTAGAGATATATACCCAATATGATTCATTTTTATTACATATATATCGTAGATACACTTCTTTGTAAATTAATTACCACTTTTCACCTAGAAGAATCTGATTGGCTGTTTCAAGGTCGTCTGAAGTTGGTGTCTATTCTTTACTGTTGCCGGAATAACAATAATAATAACAGTAGTCATTACCTTTTGGACCTTTACGTTTACTTGGTGATGAAGAGGTCTTTTTCACTGCAGATGATGATGATGATGTTGTCAACGTCGACGACTGACTGATACGAGGATGATGATGATAATGCTGATGAAGCTAGTGGTGCAGCAGCAGCTGTAGTAGTAGTAGTTGTTGTTGTTGCTGCTGCTGTTATTATCTTTCGATCTGTAGAAGATTGTTTCCCCATAGAACTACCACCACCGGCACCGGCACCACTTGTACGTTTTATTATTACATCCAATTTAGGGTTAATATCTGTTGATAAATGAACTGTACGTGAATCATGTAAAGCATCTATTGTCTCATCAGTATCCATGCTTTCTACAACAGCATCAACTTCTAATTCAACTTCACGTTCAAGTTGTGCAGAACTTTTTTCTATATCAGTAGTAGTAGTAGTTGTTGTTGTTGTTGTAGCAGTTGGCATTTTGTTCATTTCATTATGATCAATTGAAGACAAATTATCATCATTATTATGATCACAAATATTCACTTTGTCGTCGTCAATTGTATGATCGAGTTTATCATTTCCAGCTTCTTCAATATTAATAGTATAGTAGTAGTAGTAGGCTTTTCATTGTGAATGTCTAAAGAAGGTTTCGGCGTATCTTGTAAAGCTGTTGAATCATTTGACACGTCAGTTTCATTCTCATTACTATTCACAATTAAACTTTTACTTCTTACCCAACCAACACCACCACATGCAGACGGTGGGATTAGTTTCTGTGATAAGTGGATAGTGACGGCAGCGGGACGGGACAGGGGGTTTGAAGGTGGAAGGGGAAGCAAGAAATTAATAACGGTTTACAATAAAAATATGTTTAAATGATAAAATTATAGCAAAGTAACTAATTTCATCACAATTACGGGAGGAAATACCCTTCAAAACTCGACCACAACAAGCAAAGTGATTTTACATAATATACCAACGTCGACTCATTATTATCACACATCTGTCTGTTCAAACCGAGTTTACTTTTAACAGCAGAAACACACACACACACACTCCACTAAGCAACCTTGTCTACCAAGTAAAGTATCAAATTCTACAGGATTCACAATCTAATATCGCCAGAGAAAAAAATCGACATCACAGAGCCGCCTCCTCTATTCGATCAGCGAGAAATCCAGTTGGTGAACTAGAAAGACTTTTTTAAAAAGTCATCAGCTATAGGTCTACACACTATAGAGAGTCAGGCTACAAAACTGCCTTTTGACAATATTAAAATAATCCAGAAAAATTTCAGAAACCACAAAAACTTCTAATATCATCACCAGAAGCACTTTACAACATTAAGTGGAATCCAAATATCTGAATAGAAATGATGAACTAAAAGAGAATTTGACCTGGTTGCAACACCCTCCACCTTCCACCCTCCATGAAGTGACAAAATCAACACAAATGTGGTAAGCAATTTCATTGATCAGGTAAATGCATGCTGCTTTTTATAATTTCATAGGCTCAACAAATCCAACAAATAAGTTTATGGTGTCATTTGATGTAACCTCCTTGTTTATAAGGATCCTGACCAATGAAACTATCGACATCATCTGTCAACATTTTTATCTTCTCTCACTCCCAGCGTCGGAATTCAAACGCCTACTGCTAATGCGTACACCATGGATGCGCAATTCCAGTTTGATAATACTCTTTACCGCCAAATAGATGGTGTAGCTATGGGTAGTCCACTTAGCCCTGTTTTTTAGCAGATATCTTCATGTCCAACCTTGAAAGAACAAGGTCGAAGTATGTCATCAACGACACAACTTCTTATTTCCGATATGTAGATGACATATTTGTAGTATGCAACAAGCAAAGTTAGGCTTCCTACCTGCTCAGATTATTCAACGATGCACATACAAATATTGAATTTACTAGGGAACAAGGAAAGTTTCATTTCCATGACATTGACATACAACGCCTGGAAGATGGTAGTCTCTAGAGGTCAGTTTATCGAAAGCCTACATGGAATGGAAAATACCTACATTTTAATAGTTTTTGTCCTAACAGCCATAATCGAGCACTAGTTAACACTCTGTCAGAATAATATGCTCTACAGAGAAATTAGAGGAAGAATTTATGATTCTCGAAAAGATGTTGAAAAGCAACGGTTATCGTCAGAGATTCCTCAACAAATATGCGAGATGTCAAGGCTCAAACATCAAATAAAATCACAATGGGAAAAAAGCCTATCTTCATTCAATTTGATTTTAAAGGTGAAAACATTGCAGCAATAGTCAACAGAAGACTAAGTACATTCACTAGCCAGAGCTTATCCTGCAGCTAAGTTGGTTCCTGTCTATCGGACAACATGCACTTTGGCGAAGTCAAAAGCCGACATATACCCTTTTTTATGTTAACTCCAGTTGTGTATGCAAATTTACACACGTATCTGAGGAAGCAGTTACATTCAGATAACAGAATGAAGAGCACACCTCCGACTTCCTGAACATGTACTGAAAAGCCTATGCCCTAAAGGGAACAAATGCTTTCAACAGAGCCGTTGCCAGACATCTCCTTGACATGGATCATGAAGTTAAAGAAGTCACCAAAAAAATTCACCTAATATGGATCGTCTACATGAACGCTATTCAAAATAAAAATACGAAAAGCTGTGATACCCAATTTGTCTTTCTTGTTGACAGAGTGAACCTTATCGATCTTCGTCATTTCAGTGCATTGTCTGTTAAAAAGTGCTTCAATTTTCATTGCTGCATATCTCTGCTTGAAGATATATATATATAAGTAGCTCTAAGTACCACAACTCACCAGCACTATGCAACCCCCCTTAGTGTGTGTGTGTGTGTGTGAAGACTCTCAATTCACTTTGAATGACCAAATTGATTTGAAGGATTCGAAATGGCAGCTCGTATGTTGACAAATAAGTGCTTAAATCAATATGTCATGTGTTTTCCTAACATAAAACAGAAGTGTGCACACTACGAGATGACGTAAGAATACAACTTGAGTATCATGATGATTCAGTATAACTACGAAACAGAACAATTTATTCGATAAAGGCCCAGTGATACACACAACTTACTGCACAGCCATATTACTTGTGTGTTACAGTATAACAAATTAAATATTCCAATAAGCTATTTCATTCAGTGATGCTATGAAGTGCTCGACATATTGTATATATAGTATTAGCAACTTTCGACTCACCTCTAAAGACTCTGAAGATAATGATGGAGTGCTGGCGATAGAACGTGATCCCCATTGTCTTCTACGTTGTGGTTGAATTTCTGTCTCTGATTTACTATCCTTTACTACAGCAGTAGAAACAGGTTGATCCACAGTCCCGACATTTTCAGGTGCATCGTCCACACTCGGAGCTACTGGTACTACTGTAGCTGCTGCTGTCGTTATTTCACTATTGTCTGAAGGGAACAATGATAATGATTTTTAGAGTGGATTTGGGAAACAACAAAAAATAGTATTAAAATAAATAAGAATGCGAAAGGCTTTGTATGGAAAGTTTCCTCACACACACACACACACGTGTTTGTGGTCGACGAGTGGTCAATAAAAAACTAAGTGAAATTCTGAGGATAGAAGGAGCGAATGACACACACGACAGAGATATCCGATTAACAGTCATGTGAATACAGGACGACGATAAAATACTACACATCACAGACTCAAGGCCAAAATTACTTCTTTCTCGATATATGGCGCTAAGGTATTCAACTAGGAATAATACAATGAATGACTTTCTTTTCATCTGTTTGAGCCATGGTCCCCATAAGCAACCTTGAACGGCCTAGGAAGGGAATAGCCTCCAGTCTTTTCCTCTCGAAATACTCTCCTTATGCAGTCATGCGTTCACATAGACTTTATCAGATAAGTTTTACAGAGCAGGTTTGAAAAACTCTGATTCCAAACCTAGGGTGATGTACATTGGTTTTCAAAATCCGACCGGATTGACTGACGTATTAAATCTGTTTTTGGTTACCGGCAATCATGAGAACCAAGTGCTTCACATGCTTTCCTGCCTTCTAGATTAAACTTCAAGTCAAAGACTTGCAGAGTGACCCTCTTAGGACAAACATCTGCTTCGGTCTAGCCATCCGATGGTTATCACAACACCCTCGAATTGTCTGTTTCTGTTTTCGACATAGAACTTTGCACCGATGTGAAGCAGTTCAAGTCGCCACCCTCTATGTAGCACACAAAGCAAGAGAAGAAAGTAGAAGAAATGCATTATAGAGACAGTAAACAGAGATGTGAGACAAAGGAATAGTAATAATGAAGAACAATATAGTTTCATTGGATATTATAAGTCACAAGGAGTGGATGCATCTGCGCCAGCCATTGAGAACGATTTTGAGCCAAATCACCAATTGTCTCCAACCTTCATAGGTTTTTACCGTCCAGAGGACCCCAACCTTCCTACGTGGCTGGCTTAAACTAACTGTTATGGATTTCATTGACTGATGAGGCCATGGTTTAGGTTTGACCGCCACTAGCTCTTTTCCAGCCTGACCCTATGTCAGCTAATGGCGATGACATATGTAACGCATGTCCTAATCTCAATCGGTGTAACTTTACAGCCTCGTCGATTGATTTCCCCTCCCTTTTTACCTAGCACTCGATGCCTAACCTTATTATTGCTCACCCTACTATACCAGTTCACACGGGAGATAGAACGCAGGCACCTATGATCAAAGACAGGTAGTCTTTTCATGTCTTCAACTCTCAATGGCCAGGTCTCACAGCCATAAAGGAGGACCGAGCGGACTGCTAAGCCCTTCGGTCGATAGCCAGCCAGATATCACGTCTACGCCAGATGGCGTAAACTGGGATATGCGAAACTAGCCCTCTGCATCCGTGCAGAGATTTCGTCAGAGATCAACCCGTTGGTGCTGGCTGATGCGACTTTCCAAATAAGTGAAGCGGTCAACGTGCTCTACCACTTCACTCCTTATTTCTAAACTAGGAGTCAGTGTAGTTCAGTCCTGCAGCTTCATCTTTCATTTGACAGGAGAGAATTGCATGCCAAACACTCTATGATTGCTATGCAGGGTGTGTTCAGAAGACTCCGAATTTTGTCAGCGTCTTCACCCAGCAGGAAGGACCATATCATCCGTATATTCTAAGTCAACAAGCGGTATTCTTCAAATTCAACTAATATATGATGCGCGTTGCATACTAACACTAGAATGGATATACTGAAAGTTTTAAAAAGGGGATTTGCAGTTGTACAATCCAATTAAAATGATAAATTACATAAATATGATACTGGTCAATCTGAACATAACTAAAGATTAGCATGTAGGTTTCTGACAAGATGATGAAAGATTTAACACAACAACAACAACCCATAAGGTTGATCCCTAAAACAGGATAATTTTCCTATAACTATGTTACCTGTTACCCCTATCTGTAAACGACCTGGTAAGACCAATGGTCCGGCAGAGACGGAGGAGATTATGATCTTTCCCTCGAAATGCTCTCCCATGTGACCAGGCATTCATAACCTGTGGTTCCTCACAATAAAGTGAAAGTGCGAATACAACCAGACTGGTGGTGGGTATGCTGATCTACCAAGAGTGGATGAGGGCCTAGAAAATCCTGATCCTTAACCTATGGCATATACATGCGTTCCAGAATTCAACCGGATCGAATGGAGTATGAAAGCTGTTACAGCGCCTTAAGACAGCCAACTGCTTCGGTCTGACCATCCTTGGGGCCGTATTGTACCAAGTTTGCATTTATAAATAAGTAATATTAATTATTTAATACGTTAACTGTTAGGTAAAATATTATATTCAAGAAAGATGATGGCGAAACAACTGTAAGTCAAGTAACTGCAAACAACATTCAAGATGTTAGTGTAACCCAAAATGTAAGAATCTCTACAGTGCAAATTTGTTTAGGTGTAGTTTAAGCATCCACAACAATGATAACAACACAAAATTAAATAGAATCAAAGTTACGCTTACGTATTGTGCACTCAGAAGAAGGAGGAGAAGCAGAAGTAGGCGTAGACTTACACACAATTTCCTCACTTTTCTAAAAATGAAAGCAGTACCAGGATGCAGTAGAGCGAAAAAAAGAGAGAATTACTTACTAAAGGTATTAATAATCCTATTATTATTATTGTTTACAAATAAAGCATGTAAAACAATTGAGGGAAGCCAACAACACAAATACCGCAGAGAGACAGACCCAACAATCCTGCATCTCATCATCAATTCAGTTCAATCCAAAGAAACAAAGTGTAAAATATCTGTTAAGGCCTAATTTAACAACAACAACAACAAAATCCGCTATACACCTGCTGCTATATTACGACTAATCAGTATGTTTTACCCTTTCCTAAGGCGTCAACTAATCCACACAATAGGAATGCCGACACAAACCACATACAAACAACAAACGCTAACAAGCACAGTCCAAAATGGAAACGCACGCACACGCATACACACAGTTTTAAACACCAGTTAATGCTTGCAAAAATACCCAATGCAAAATACAAGAAAAGAAAACGCAAACAATAAAAAGTAACCTGAATTTCTCTTTTTTCCTCTCTCTCTCGCGTTGCAAGAGAGATACCCAAATTTACCACCAAGGGGAGACGACAGTTCACATCACCTCTTCGTCTTCGTTTTCCGTGTTGTTGTGTTCATATTCATTATTTATTATACCACTGATGTAACCACAACAGGAGACACATAGTCAAGATGCATTATTGTCGTATATGTTTTTTTGACATTGATGAGTAAAAAATAACCCGTCCTCCCAGGTAAACAACAACAACAAAAACAGCAGCATCCATTGGAAAGAAAAACAAGGATGATACTCCCCCTCCCCCATTGAAATGTTAGATACACTACGCGTAATGCGTTGTTTGTTTGTTCGTTTTTCAAAGGTTTATATGCATTACAACAGAAGAAATTTTTGAGAAATCGAATAGGAAAGAGAAAAGTAAACGATTATCATTATTATTATCATAACAGTCTTCCAAAGATAAAGTTGAGCGATAGTGTCACATGCAATTTTCGTAGGGTGAAGACAGTTAGTTGTTTATTATCAAAAAACAAAACGAAAGTACATTATAGTCATTTAAAACAGTATGTAAAATTCAGTTGAAATATTGACGTCGAAATGTGTACTGACATCAAAACTCCTCTTTTTACTGTCACATAGTAACTCAAAACGATACTGTTTAAAACGACTGACATTTTTCGTAAAACAAAAAAAGAGAAGAATAGCACAATCTGAAGTGAAAAAGACAAAAGTTAAGAAACACACACACAAAAAAAATAACATATTCATAAGCTTGAAGGTAATCAATATAATTGACGATCCATTGCGGTGTGTAATGGTACAATTAGATGACTTGAGTAGAAAGAAAAAATCTAACAACAGAAGTGAAGAATGAAACACTTCCAACGCCAACTGACAAGAGTGGTAGAAAATAGTCAAATAAAATAAACAATTGGCACACTTGTGGTACACAGAAATAACAAAAAAAATGAGCATAAGTTTACATGCGTATTTAGTAAAATTGCATTGTAAGATAAGTGTTTATAACGGCTAGATATACACTGTTTTAACAGTTACCAGATTTGCTGTCTAATCATAGGAGATTTTCTCAAGAATGCAAAATACGTACAAAGCAGTACGGCGAACACGTTAAAAGAGAGAGACAGCGAGAGCTTATTACACTTGGTATTTGACAGTCATCGTATATGCCATGTAATCAAACTGAATTTTTATTCGTTCCAATTGTAGGATGACAAGACGAAAGACATCTTTAAGCGTAGTAGTAGTAGCAGTAGTGGAATGCGACCAACACGTATTAGACTAGCGAGTATAAACAGGAACAAGGAGTGAAATTTAGGCAAGTACAAAAAATTATAAGGGAAAACAAACACCGGTGACGAAGAATAAAGAAGGAAGGAATCTGATAAAAAAACAAGTGACCATACTTAACCAAAAAACGCAAAAGTTGTAAAAAATAAAAGAATATTGTATGCCTGTATACACCTACAAATCCTTAACGCTACATATATATATATATACATATATATATATATATAATGAAAAACATATGCTAAGAACTATTCAAGATACCTAGTTTTCAATTAACAAAAACCACTGAATTAGTGGAAAACTTACAGAAATGTCATGCCTGAAAGTGAAAACAGAAAATCCAAGAAAAACACTCATTAGTATATGCAAGATAAAATAATAAGGATGATGAAGTTGATACTGCATATGCAAAAGATTTTAAACCTATTAGGAAAGACTTTACGGAACCTCTGCTATAACTACATTCGAAAATACAATAGATTCTTGAACAGACAGACGGGCACCATCATAGAACAACACTGGTTCAAGCTGTTGATTTTGAAACGAACCTATAAAATGCAAAAGATCAAATTATGACAGTTTTAACGTTATGAGTTTTTGCTACTCTTAGTAGTAAACGATAGCTACTTTTGTCAAACACGAGGTCCCGATTGATAACAACTACTCACCTAGATAGAAACAGCTGAAGTTAGGACTAAGTGCATCAAATTAGTAGATTAGGCAGCACCAGGAGTACCTTAATGAAGTGATCTTCATAAATGTTGCGTCAAAAATATTGCCGAGAAATAGACAATGTTTTTCGCAGACAGAGTTAATAACTTCCAATCCCTATTAGTCGTTACAGATTTGTGTCAGTTTATTTCCACAAACTGTCGCGGTAAGAATATAATTTCGCTGTATCTATTTCGACCATCTAATGAAAATCTACGAGACTTCACAAAATATTACATTAATCCAAAATGTAACAATAACAGGAATTTAATAAAATGTATTGTTACTATGAATTTCTGAACTTACTCCATAGTTGTGCTTATGTCATTAGGTGCAGACGACTCAGTGATTTCTTCATCTGAGGCAACAGCATCAATTTCTAAAGCATCCTCATTTTGTGTGTTAGTTCCTGAAGAACCATTTGATGCTACAGGTTGTGCAGCACCTTTAGCCTCCTGAAACCAATAGAAATATTGACTTTTTTAGTCATCAAATATATAGTAACCTTACTTTTGCATTCCATTATATTTATATGCCGTATAAAGGAGATGCAAAGGAGACACATGTCACAAACAACTACAACCAATCTATTTTAATCTACTTAACCCTAAACCATAATTAAAACATAAGCTAAGAATTAGACTTGGGGACAAATACCAACAGACATCCATTAGGTAGAAAATTAACAAAATCAGAACTCTTGTGACCACTAGAAACTGATAGTACACAATCCAATAGGTCACGGATTCCCACTTTCTCTTAAGCACTTCACAAGTAGGCAAAAATAATCTCACTCCCATGAGTGTGATGTTTACCATTTGAATCTTCACAGCCCTGTGTCCTTGTCTTTACAACTTCAAAAGTCAAGTAAATAGTAGTGCACATAAGTCAACATGCAATACCATACCCATTGGCGGATACAACTGGCGAGAACATAGACCTGCAGGTCTACCATCCTGCCTTGTATCATAATACCTCATGACTGATAAGTCAAATTCAATGGCTGGAGTTAGGTAACGCTACTGACATTCATTTAGGAAAATTTTTTAATTGTATTGATACTGAAGGGATATTACGACGAATTCACGGTCGTCTATCTGCCTAAAGAGCATACTGATTAACTGAACCTTATTAAATAAAACTTATTCAGCAGCGGTTTCAAGTGAATAAATATCTAACCGACCAGGTAGATGATACAATACAAATAGCGAACCACTAACGGTTACACTGAAAGCAATTACTGTCACATTTACCGCACCACTGTGGAGAACTACTTACGGACAATTCAACTTTGAATCCTGGAAAGCAGATCTACAGCGGATCAATATTTCGAAGTGTTTTGCTAGACCCAAATATAACGTTTGTCGTTAAGTTATTTGACTCAAGGTCTGGGTAAGCAGTTAGTTTCTTAGTTAACGTTACAATTAAATAATGAGTTTTAGACACTTTTTGTTATCAGATACAAGATATATAACAATTAGCAAAAAAAATATTACCACTCTGCTCTGTTGCAGTTCGGTATCCACAGCATCTGAAAGGCGTGCGCACAAGTCCTTCTTTACACCTGATCTACTTAGTCCTCTTATCTCCAGCTGAGTTCGGAGGTCGGCTACCTTCAGATCCCCAATCCGTCGCCCATCAGGTAATAATACGTTTTCTGGACTCGACATCACGCGCTTTACACCAAAACCTACACTTGTAAAAACAAAACATAGTGATTCAGTGTTCAATGTACATCAGTCTGTTGTGGTTACATACAAACTGAAAAAGGAGCATGAAGACATATTTGGAGTATCTAAACAGTTAATTATAGTATATTATAATTTCGAAAACTCCATCGATTACAGTTCCATCCACATTCAACAGGATGCTGACTTTCCTGCTTGGTGAACTTTTTCTCCTGAATGTACCCTACAACCAGTCTTGTAATTAGATATGCTCTATCCGTTTACCCCCGTCAGGTAAGTTATCCAGAAAATTAACACGCATTCTAGATTTCACAGTGTTTATGAGTGGTTACTAATCTTTTCGTTCTACTGATACTGGCGTTTTTCACCAAATACATGTTTCACTCATGTTGTCAATACTTGTGAGCTTCGAATCAGGAATATATGGTTTTTTCATTTTAATGGATCTTCGACTGGGCGGAAAGCAATAATGGTGGGCATGACCAAGTGGTGATCTGTTTGGCAGAAGTCTACAGAAAACCGATCAGAAATATTTCTGTGCTTTATGCTGATGTTTATTCATGGAGTTTGTGTTGTAGTAACCATGTAATCCTTGTCCGTTGTCAGTGAAGAAATAAAAGCTCCTAAAATCATCATTTAGTTTTTGATATTTTTGAGTTGGTTACGGTGCACAGTACTCTGAGTCGGAGACTAGTTTTCTGAGAAGCACTAGGTCTAGGACCTATTCAGGCTTGGACAATTGACAACTTTCAATCTCTCCTGGGCATTTCTATTTCTCAGCTGGAAACTGCTGATTATTTGGCCTGGGTCAGCGCTTGTCTCTCGCCCTTCTGCTTTGGACAAGTACTACCTGGAACATACATGTTAGAAGTTTCTGCTGAAGTTAGCTAATGCCTGGGCCAGAGAATGAACGAGGCTGTAGTGGAGTGGGTAATAATGTCTTGGTAGCGAGTGCCTTGATATTTATGAAAAATGTCTGAGGTTATACCTGATAAAATGGGTGACAATAACCAAAGAGAGTAATTTTTTAGGTTTCCCAAGTTCAAGCCACGGTGCTTTGACGGAAATCCAGCGATCTACTTTTGCTAGTTTTTGTCTCCAAATGAAGGGTACGCTGAAGTACATCGTACATTTAGCTAAAGGTTTGGAAAACCTTTTAAGATTTCCAGGAGTGTTCTTGATATATTCATAGGTAATTGGTGGCAGTTAAGTGATCCCAAAGACCCCACCACGTCTTTAGACAACTTGGTGACGCGTACAAATGCTTTGACTTCCTTAGATTGTATGAGTGACTTGGATCCAAGATGTGTTCTCGAATTAACTGACGAACGCTTATATACTCAAATACAGAGGAAGTGGACCAATATCATCCCCTGTATGGAAGACGAAGTCTTGGGGACAGGGCGTGATTACACTTTGAGACTTGTGAAAGATACCGTCAACCAAACGAATACGAAACTTGTCAATATAATGAATCCCACTACTGAAATTGAGAAGTCAGTAAGACGAAATAATTTGTAGTGAAGGGCGCTGAGGGCTGTGGGTGTTCAGGGAATTATGTGATCTGTGGTTATGTTAGTCGACTTATACGAGTGTACTTGCTCACACAGAACACATCCGCTGGAAAGATTACAAGTTTTGAGGCAGAAACGATCATGTTCTGGCTGTTCGAAAGAGGAACGTACAAAATCGAGCTCTAAAGCCGTAGGCAATAAATAAATAAATTTATTCTCATAGTACAGTACATGAGGGACGCCAGTTTACAGGCATCATCAAATTGTTACAGAAATAGAACCATATAATTCAGTCACAATTTACAGGCAGTAGCAAGATATGCATTACATGTTCACTGTAGATTATACATACATTTGATAAATGTTAATCCCAGTAGTATAAAACAGCCTTTTCACTTATATACAATCATCTCTGTGCACAGTTGGAATAATCTGCTAGATTGTCAGTGAGTGCAACACATCAGGAAATACAGAAGTATTGTCTTCGCATTAACAAAAAAACCAGGTCTTTGGTGGATGGATTATAAGTGCCTGGGAAAAAAAAGCTTGAAGTCAATTTTCATACACAACTTTGCTGTGTGCAGAATCCTTGAATTATAGTTCATTGATGTGTTATTTTGAAATCAGTGATATGTTTATCTCATTTGATCTGCAATGTCATTGTTGGGAGTAAGTATATAAGCTTCAGACGCATTAATGAATGGTTTTCTACTGCTTGTGGGTATTTTCTTAGCGTGAGGAAGGTTTATGAATTTCAGCTGTTCCGACAGGAGTTGAGAATATTAACTGCTCAGCAACATTATGGATATAAGTTCATCGCATTATCTAAGGAAAGGTGGGTTGCAGTTGGTGAGGGATATATGGTGCCCAACGAGCGTACATCTGTCCATGTGATGTTGTGATGAGTTATACCTTTTTCATGTCGGTTTATGTCCATTTTATTCCACATATTGTGTTGGGTAGTAGTTTTACAAACGAGATTTCTTGTCTGTTTGAGGATACGTATCTTAACCGTTAGTGTTTTATCTAGAATTATAAACATAGGCAAAAAACAACAGGTGGAGTATTTAAGCTTATACATTAAATGGACCTATAATTTCGGAGGCTCTCAGATAGGATCTAGAACTACTATCGTTTGCAAACTCTTGTAGTTTGTCATTAAGCACCTTTTTGAAGGAGGCCAATGTGCTTGCTTGACGCATTTCCATGGGTAGTTTATTCCATATCTGTGCATACCTAATCAAGTAAAACTTTTGCCTGGTGGCTGTTTTACATTGTTCGATAGCTACTGTACCCTTAGTGTGTCTTAGTTTGTAGCCATTGTCATCTGAAAGTCGAGTGCCATTAGTAGAGGTAAAAACTAAGTGGTTTAGAAGCTTATAGTAAAGTGTCGAGTTTAGTCTCAGGCGTCTTAGCCATAGTGTTTCTAGTCCTGGGGTATCACATCTAGTGGAGTAGTTCGCACCATTTTCGGTTCCGAGTAATTTTAACGTGAAGTACCTCTGCACTTCCTCGACTTTCAATTTGTCCTCTATGCGTATACTACTATACATGAATGAACAATAATCAAATAAAGGACGCACACAAACCTAGTACAACAGAATTCTAGACTCACTTCTGTAGAAGTTCCTGAGTAGAAACCCGATAAGTCTGCGTGACATTGACACTTGTTTGGAGATATGTACAGAAAATGATAAGTTATGTCAATATTTCAGCCCTAGGTCTAGTACAGATTCCAGTCGTAGAAGTGCATGGCCTTGAATTGTCAGGTTAAGTTCTAAATTGTTGCAACCTATGCAGAGCCAGCCACATTTTTCCAACATTAAATTGGAGTTGCCAAGTGTCACACCATCTATCCATTTTTTCTAATTCTTGCTGTATGGCGTTTACTGTTGTTCTAAGATCTGTGTTCTTGCATTTATACTTCACTTTTAAGTCATCTGCATATAGTATTGGTTTACCTACACTAAAGCATTCACAGATACTGTTTATATATATTATGAATAAGAGTGGGCCTAATACACTTCCCTGGATCACACCACTACTTACTGGTTTAGGCCTTGAGATTATCAAGCCAACTTTCTTTGTCTGACTTCGGCCACAGAGAAATGATTTTATCCAGCTCAGGAGAGGGTCACATATCCCTAGTGAGCATAACCTGCTGACTAGCAGATTATGGGAAACTCTGTGGAAGGCTTTTGTTATATCGAAATATAGCACAATTACTAGTTCTCTGTTGTCCCTACTTCGTGTAACTTCGTTGAAAAAGTCTATGTGACAGGTCACACATTATCTCTTTTTGAGAAATCCGTGTTGTGATGGATTGATAAGTTCATGTTCTAGTAAGTTGTCTGACACTTTTTTTACCACTTTCTCCATTATTCGGGATATTGCCGGTGTTATATTGATAGGTCTATAGTTGCATGCACTGGTTTTGGCCCCTGCTTTGTGCTTAGGTAATATGCATGTGGTTTTCCACACTTCAGGATAAGTTCCAGTTTCCAACGAGAGAGTAAATATTCTAAGTAACAAGACTACCATTTCCGTGCTACCATTTTTGTATATGACAGATGGTATGTCATCTGTTCCAGTACTACCATTAGACTTCAATGTCTTAATCGCTGAGTCTATATTTTGTATATTAAAGTATATTTCGCCTAATTTGTGGTTACTTTTGCAGGTCATTTGGAAATTTTGGGTCATGTGCACTCAGGCATCATTGCAAAACCACTCACTGAGGAGTTCACTCATATACTGGGGATCATTGTATATCATACCGTTATGTTCCAAGCTGCTTACAGTGTTGTCTTTACTGCTTTTTAGACGTTTCTGCAATATCCTACAAAGTTCCTGAGTTTTGGAGTTGCCCACAAGCGCTTTATTTTCTTCAAGTTGTGACCTCATTTTGTGTTTCTCTTCAAGCAGTTTAAGAGTTTCATGTATTTGGTTTAACGTATTAAATTCCTTAAATACATGGTATTTCCTTTTCAATTTCTTTAGCTTTAGTCGCGTTTTGCGGTCTATAAATGGAGTTGGTGTCTTTAGAGCAGATTTTAGGGGTGCGATTGTGTCTCTTGCTGAGCCGATTGTTTTGTAGAAAATATCAGGTGATGCTTCTAAGTTATTGTTGATGAAGTATTCTTCCCAGTCAGAACTTCTCAACAGATCTGATAAGAATTCCCAATCGGCATTCTTATAGTCCCTATATTGATAGTGCACCAGGGAATTTTTAGGTGAGTATTTAGTTGTTGGTCTAAGGGGTAGCGTGCAGTACAATATGTTGTGATCACTGTTATCAAGTTTATTTCCTACCTCTATCGAGATGGGCTCTATTTCATGACAGAGGATTAAGTCAAGAGTATTTTTGTTTCTTGTAGGGAGGCGTACGCACTGCTTCCATCCGCCTACGTCTATAGTTTGTAGTAGCTCGTCATGGATTCTTGGTCCTGTACAGGTATCCCAGTTTGC